TTTTAAAGAAGATGATAAAACTCTGCAAATCATTAAATTTAATCATTATTGTAACAGCACAGTGCATCCATCCAGAATAAGTAATTTGATGTTTGAAGAATTAGTCTCCTTGTTTTTATGCTCTAGAAATCTAATCGATCTTACTATTGGCCTTGGTCCCTTCGATTTTCTTTTCGAGTTTATCTCAAATTTATTTTTAAATTTAAATAAAACAAGTGATTCAAAATTATCAAGATTCAATATCAATACTTCAATTAACTATTGCTCAGAAGATTTAGAAATATTAAAATTAAACACTAAACAATTGTTTGATAGTTGTAATCAAGCTAAATTCCTAGATGTTATTTATCAAGTTCTTTTTGCAAGTAGATATTCCCATAAATCCCTTTTCGAATTTAAAAAGCAATAAATAAATAAATAAATAAATATTTTTTTTTAAGAAAATTGAGAAAAACAAATACAGATATTATTTATTTAGGTTTAATTTATTTACATTTAATAATATAATGTTTTGGTTAATGAATGAATTTTATAAATTATATAGTTTTATGGAAGTGAAGCAATTGATCTCTTTGGTGGTGGACCTTGTGGAGATTTTAATTTAGTTTGTACTGTGTATGAGTCATCAGAATGTGGAGTCCATACTCTTTCTTTTTTGCCACTTGTCTTTACTTCGTTAGCGTCTTTTATTTCTCTTTAGAAAGAAGAAAATATTAATATTAAGATTAATACTTTTATACTTTTAAAAATATAAAATATACTTACTGTTCAAATTTAGATGTTAATGATTTGGTTCCTGACATATTTGTTTTTGTGTTATAGAAACTAAAAATTATATTTATTTATATTTTAAAAATTAAATTTTTTACAATGCAATAAAAACTTTTTTTTTTTATTTTTTATTTTTATTTTTTTAAAAAAATTATAAAATTAATTTTTATTCAAATAACTGAATGGGTTTTTAATTTATTTTAAAAGAAAAAAAAAAAAAAAAAAAAAAAAATATCCAAAAAAAAAAAAAAAAAAATCTTTAGATAACTTTTTTTATTAATAAAAAATAATAATTATTACACAACATGTTTATTAAATTATTAAATTATTTTTTTATTTTTATTCATTAAAATATTATTTTCATTTAAAAATAATTAACAGGTATTAAAAAGACTATTTTTCATCAAATTTTCAATTTCTTTTTTATCATTTCTATTATATTCACAAAAAGAGAGATCAAAGAAAGCAACATTTTTTTTATTATTTTTATCTATATATTTCCCAACTTTTCTTTTGGACAAACAATGATAGTAGTTTCCATTTGATGCTAAATTGGATATTGTAGATAAAACTTGATTAACAAATTCATCATTTTTCCAATCATCTTCTGATGCTTTTAACAAAAATGGCATCATTAAAGCTGGTCTATTATTAAAAATATTAACCTAAATTTTAAAAAAGGAGTTAAAATTTATATTTCAATTAAAAAAATAGTAATAATAAAAAACCAATAAATTACTTTTGCATTGAAATCCCAAAATAATTTCCAAAACATTGATTCATTTTTAAGTTCTTCCCCAGTTTCAGTAAAATTTTCCCCTGATGAAAATTTTAATACAAAAACATATCCATCAACAGTGGAACATAACCATACCTTTCCACTCTTTTCACTTAAGTCTAATAAGACAACTGCAGCTCTAACCATATCAAAATTTAAATTGATTAAATATTTTAGAGAATCAATTCTAATATTGACCCAATACCAATTATATTTATCAATTTGCATATACAATCTTTTTTTGTCGAGTAATTCAATCTCAGGTTTTCTTTCAGAGTAAAACATCTTCTTTAAGGTTGATAGTAAAACCATTGGTAGTTCTTCTGATGAAAAATTATATAACTTTGTGCCGTAAATTACTCTATTTATAGACTGTGGATATATATTATGACTATCTTTACTATATTCAATTGGCTCATTAAGATTATTTTCAATTGGTATCAATGATGGATACTCCAATTTGGTGTTAGATTCAGTTTTTGAAATTAAATCATCTTGGTCAGCTTCGGAATCAGGTAACCAGTATATCCTCCATTGGTTATATGTTGTAGAAATACCAAACACATTCTTTTGACCATACATTTCTTTTAAAATAAGCATGTAGTTTAACAACTCTCCACAGACAAATGGATTGTTTAAAACTATTTCATTTGGTTTTTTAAATTGAACAATCCCAATTGGTAAACCATAAGAATTTGAAATTAACCATATAATTGAAGTTACACTATAAATACCAATTTCAACTTTACATTCTGCTTTTATTTGACCACCAGCAAGAATATCTCTTATGACCATAGCGACATGACTTGCGATATCATTTTCATTGGTATACCATAGCTTTGTCTCCTTTGCCAAATTTAAAAACAACCACAAGCTGCTATAATAAATTTTTAATTTTTGGTTTTTTAAACAGGTAAATTTAAATTGTTTTAAATAAGCAGGTTGATGATGTATATTGATAACTTGTTTTAAAAATGGTTGCTCTCTCAATGGCCCACATAAAGGAGGTAATAAATTTAAAAATATATTTTCACATGCTACATAAAAAAGAGATAATTAGATTTAATAATTTTTTATTTTTTTTTAAAACTATAACCTACGCAGAGTTTTTATAAAAATATTTTGGTTTTTTTTTCTCAAATCAAAAGATTCTTCATTACTTGAGTTGCAATCGTCTTTATTATGATATATCAGTAATAATGAAGGTGAGATGTTTAGTTCAGTATCTTTAATAATCTTTTCTTTTAACTCCATTAAACTTGAGATATATCCTTTAAAAGGGCATTTTAGTTTATTATAAAATATTAAACAATCATATAGTAATGGGTTTGGGAGAATTGTAATTTCATTGTTATTTTTATTAAGAATGATACTATTATCTATATTATTTTTTAACATTATTACTATTTTATTATTTTATAATTAAATTATTAATAAATCTAAAAATAATAAAATAGTAATAATGTTAAATTATTTTTTTTATATTTATTAATTTTTTTAAATATTAGAAAAATATTTTTTATTTAAATTGAATTATTTAAAATATAATTAAAATAACAATGTTTATTTTTAAATTGTTTAAAATTTAAATAATTTAAAAAAAGAAAAACAATTGTGTATATATTAATGAAAAAAAAAAGAATAAAAGAAAAAAAACTATGAGATTTATTTACAATTAATTTATTTCTAAAATATGATAGTTATTATCAAAGAGACTGTTTTTCATTAAAATTTCAATTTCTTTTTTATCTTTTCTATTGGCTTCACATAAGGAGAGATCAAAAAAAGCTATTTTAGTTTGTTTCTTTTTATCTATATATTTCCCAACATGTCTCTTTCTTAAATCTTGGTGATAAAGACCATTGACTGCTAGTTGTTTTATAGTATCAGATACTCTTTCGACAAATTGTTTATCTTTCCAATCGTCTTCTGTAGCTGGTAATAAAAATGGCATCATTAGTGCTGTTCTGTCGTTCCATGTTTCAACCTAATTGAAAAATTAAATATTACTAATCTTAATAATGTTATTTCTAAAATATTTAAATAAATTAAATTACCATTGTATTAAAATCCCAAAATATTTTCCAATTTTTTGATTCTTTTATTAATTCTGAAATGGTTTCCTCTGCTGAAAATTTTAAAACAAATACATAACCATCTAAAGAGCAACATAGCCAAACTCTTCCATGTGCCCCACCACCTAAATCTAAAAGAACAATTGCGGCTTTGATCGAATTAAAGTCTAAATCTATTATGTATTTTAGAGATTCGATGTGTATATCAGCCCAATACCAAGAGTCTTTAATTATATGAATATACATTCTTTTACTGTCAAGTAGAGGAACATGGCTTTTTCTATCAGAAAAATACATTTTCTTAACAGCTGAAAGTAAAACCATTGGTAATTGGTTTGAGGAATAATCAAAGGCCTCTGTCCCATAAACCAAACGATTCATTGAGGATTGCAAATATGGTTGATTAGAAGAAAAGAGTTGTTGCTTATGAAATTCCTTTTGAAACTGCTGTTCTTTTTGATATTTGATATGTTGTCGAACTGATTCTTGTTCTTCATTTTGGATTCTTTGCTGGAACTGGTTCTGTTGGCTTATATATTGCTGATCTTGATATTGTTTTTGAGTGATATCTGATTTTTTTAAGGTCTCTTCATCCATAACTTTAATTGTTTCACATGGTATTACGGTTGGAGCACTAATTTCAGTTTTTGATTGGGTATCTTTAAGTAAGGTATCTGATTTTGCTACATTATCTGCCTCGGGTAACCAATAAATCCTCCATTTTCTATATGTACTAACAATTCCGAAACCATATATTATTCCATACATTTCTCTTAGCTTTAACAAATAATCGAAAATTTCACCATGGATTCTCTGATGATCTATAATTGAATCAAAGGGCTTTTTAAATTGAATTACACCAACTGGTAAACTTGAGGCACTTGAAACGATCCATACATCTGGCTCTAAACCACTAACTTCGATTTCTCTTATACATTTCGCTTTAATTTGATCACCACTAGAAAATATAATATCTTGAACTACACTTGTTACATAATTACCAACTTCATATTCATTACTATATGAGAGACTGGACTCTCTGCTGAGACTTAATAAACTCCATAAATTACTATAAAGAGTTTTAACTTTTTGATTCTTTAAACATGAAAAATAATGAACCTCTAAAGTTGCTGGTTGATGTTTGAAATTAATTGAGGGTCTGGATAAAGGCCTTTTGGGTATACCTAATGGGGGTAATAAGCTTTTGAAAATATTTTCGCATGCTATATATTAATATATTAAAAAACAAAATGTTATTTAAAACTTTTAATTAATTTGTATGGCAAGTATAGTTGTACTTACGTAAAACTTTAATATAAATCACAGAGTATTTTTTATTTATATCAAATGCTTCTTCTTTATCTGATTCGCAATCTTCTCTATTATCATATAAAAATAATAATGCAGTTGATATTTTTAAATCTAGATCTTCAATAATTTTTTCTTTTAAATCTTCAATATTTGTAATTGATCTTTTAAAATAAAAACTAAATTTTTTTTGATATATCAAACATTCAAAATCTATTAGTTGTAATGAAGAGGAGGATTCACTTTTTAACATAGTAAAATAGTTATTATAAAATAGCCAAATATAAAAACTAATGTTTAATATTTTTAAATTATTATTATTTTTATTATTATTTTTATTTTATTATTTTATTATTTTTTATTTTATTATTTTATTTTTATAATTAAAGATCTCTGTATATCTTATTATAAAAATGTATATTTTTTAAAAATATTTATTTTAATTAAATTGAATCTACACATCTACATTTTTTATAGGTAGTTTTGTTTAAAAAATAAAACAATTGGAAGTAAATAAAATTTGAAAAAAAAAAAAATATAATTTATAAATTTGAAAAAAATTGGGGAAAAAAAAAAAAAAAGAAATAACACAATAGGGCTTCGTTTTGAAATATTTTATTACCTTAACAATCCTTATTGCTAAAAACTAAACTACCTTTTTTAACAACATGGGAAATTGGTGGATCGACTAATTCGTAAATAATGTGTTCCCATTTACTTGAATTTAAAATAACGAAATCTGCAAATTTACCAACCTCTAAAGATCCATGAGTTGAAGATTTGTTAATGGAAGCTGCAGCATTGATGGTAGCAGCGACTAAAGCTTCGTTCATATTCATTTTCATTAAGACACAGGCTAAGTTCATAACGAATGGCATTGATAAGCAATGGGCATTTGGATTAAAGTCACTACCAAGGGCAACTGGTACACCCAATTCGATCATTCTACGTGCTGGTGGGCATTCTAATCTAAGAATATATGCGGTGGTTGGTAAGAGGACAGCAAATGTTGGTGTAGCGGCCATAGTTTTCATACCTTCTTCACTGACTTTTTCTAAATGGCTGATAGCTCTGGCACCCAATTCACCAGCTAATTCACCAGATTTCATGTATGATAATTCGTCACCGTGGAAATTTAATTCTAAACCTAATTGTTTACCAGCTTCTAATATTTTCTTTGTGTCTTCATATTCAAAGAATCCCTTTTCTAAGAATACATCGATATTGCTTGGTGAGATTTCACCAGCATCTTTTAATCTCTTTAATTCTGGTAATTGTTTATTGATGATATCTTGGGTAGCTTCGTGGGCAGTTGATCCCTTTGGAATTGAGTGACCACCAAGATAGGTTGATACAATTTCTACTGGATGCTTCTTTGCGGCATTATGTAAAACCTTTAACATTTTCATTTCTGTTTCTGTTTCCAAACCATAACCACTCTTTGCCTCAATTAATGTAGTTCCACTCTTTAACATTCTATCTAATCTTGGAATTAATAAATCATACAATTCTTGTTCTGTGCTGTTTCTAGTATGATTTACTGTGAATGTAATACCACCACCTGCTTTTTGAACTTCTAAATAAGTAGCACCTGCTAACTTCATTGCAAACTCGTGTACACGATCTCCGCTAAATACTGGATGTGTGTGACCATCTACAAAACCTGGTAATACTGCTCTACCATTACAATCTATAATATTTTCAAATGTTTTTCCATTGTATTTTTCTTCCATTTCTTTTGATGATCCAATATCGTGAATAATACCATCATTATTAATGATAATAGTTCCATTTTCTAAAATTTCAATCTAGATTTAAAATTTTAATGTTAGTAAATATAATATTAAATTTAAAAACCTTGGTTGTTTACATACATCGCTCATTTCTTTACCAACTAAAAATGGTTTGTTTTTTGAAACGATAACTAATTGTGATGCATTTTCAAGTTTTAATTTATAGTCGAATGTCATCTTTTTATATATACTAGTTGGGTATGTAATTCGTAATTATTCCCTAAAAACAAAAAATGAAAAAAAATGAAAAAAAATAAATTAATTAAAAAAAAGAAAATTTAAAAAAAAGAAAATTTAAAAAAAATAAAAAAAATAAATCAAAATTTTTAATTATTTTTTTTTTTTTTAATTTATTTTTATCCTGTGTGTTGTGTTTAACCCTTTGTTTTTTTTTTTTTTAACTATCTAAACATAATCACATTTCAACTAAACAACTGACTTTGTTTTAATTTTATTTTTTTTTAAATTTAATTGTATCATGACATAAAAAAATAACTATATTCAACAAAATGCAATACCCACACCCCCACAAAATTTAAAATTGGCAAAGCTATTCATGTAAAGAATCATCAAAATTTTAATTTTTTTATTAAATTATGATGAAAACATTGTGTTGTGTGTGTTTATTTGTGTGCCTCATATCAATAAGTTATGGGGTTTTTTCCCACAAAAAAATAATAAATACCCTTTTTATAATAAATAATATTTTTATATTTCAAATTAAAATTAAAAATAGAACAAAAAAAGAAAAACAAACGTTAACATCAACAATATAAATTTAACCACAAATAATAGTTGTAAAATAAAATAAATACAAAAAAAAAAAAAATGAAAGAAATGAAAAAAAAAAAAATATAAATAATTATTGCTTATCAATCAAAATTCAATTAACAATAATCAATAAAGAGTCAACACAAATAAAATAATAATAATAATAATAATAATAATAATAATAATAATAATAATATAGTAATAATAATAATTTATATAATTGTGATCAAAAAAGTAAATAAACAGTACAGTTATATAGATAAATATTTATAAATAAAATCTTTGTGTAACAAAATAATTTTATTTTATTTTATTATTTTTTTATTTATTAAAAAAGTAAATTAATAAATATATTCACCACACACACAAATAGATAAAATTTTAACATACACACTACACACTTCACACTATTATTTTGTTTTTTTAATATAACATAAACTCTAATTTATGTATCTTTATTACATATAATATAATAGATATAAATAACCACCACACCATCAAAAAAAATAATTTTACTTGCTATTTTTTTTTTAATATATTTAGCAATTTCAATATATTTTTTTTGTTGTTAATATAAAATATTTGTTTTTGTTTTTTTTTTTTTTTTAAATTTTATATTATTTAATTTTTTAAAGTATAATTTTAAATTTATCTTTTCTTTTATTTATTGCTTCGCCCCAAAAACAATAATAATTTTGTGTAGGTGGTGCATGCACCAGTGTAATAATAAACATCATAAATATAAAAAATATAAAACAATACAAACTATTTAATACAGCAAAATAATATCTTTTTTATATATGCCAAAAACAAATTTATAAAACAAACTATATTTTATATATATATAAAGAAATGGGAGAATTTAATGTACAATTAAAAACTTTAATAAAAAAGAATTTAATGCTAAAGAGTAAAAGCAAATGTGGTCTAATATGTGAATGTCTATTCCCTATAATCATTGTAATGGTTCTATTTGCAATATTATGTAAGTATGAGTATAATGTATTATTAAACAATACTCTCATTTATTAACAATAGAATTTTTTATTACTCATAGTTATGATAAACTCTTTTAAGGCAGGAGATAATATTTATAGTTTAAATGGTTTTAATAGCATGTATTTTCAATTAAATAATAGTAGTAAATTAATATATGGTAATCCAGATGGCAGTTTAACGATACAGCAAGAAGGGGTTATACAGGTTTTAAAGAATCAATTGAAATTGGTTAGAAATTCCATCAATGTAGACCAGGGTTTAGATTCGATAGAAGATTCATACTTTTTAGAGATTAATAATAAAAAGCAGATGGAGGATTATTTTAAAGAGAATTCGAAACAAGTTTATGGTGGAATATGGTTCCCAGATTCCTCATTAGCTTCAAAAGATACACCATTTAAATATAACATAAGGCTGGATAGCGATGAAACATTAAATAACGAAGAGCAAGAAGTAAAGAATGAAAATGGTTTGGTTTATGTCAGAGGAAAATTTACTAAAATTCAAAGTGCAATGGATCAAGCTATTTTCGGATTCTTTGGTTTAAATAAATCTCTAAATATTACAGCCCAATTATTCCCAGATCCTTATGTAAAGCAATGGGAAAAATGGATAGATGGCAGAGACCAAGTTTTTAAAAATGCAGGTTCAATTTTTGTTACTGCTGGTCTTTTTATATTTGGTTTCCGTTTAATTACCGACGTAGTATTTGAAAAAGAACAAAAAATAAGGGAAGCTATGAAAATGATGGGTTTAAATGACTTGGCCTATTTTCTCAGTTGGATGATAACCTCTCTAGTTACTGCGGTGCCAGTTTCTTTAATTATTTGTCTAATTCTCAAAGGTTCTCAAGTTGTATACCATACATCATGGATTGTAGTTATAGTAACTCTCATTCTTTATGTCATATCTCTGCTACTTCTTGCTATGGTGATGGGTATGTTTTTTGACAAATCAAGGTTTGCAGGTTTAATATCATTTATAATAGTATTGGCCCTCAATTTAATTGGAATTTTTATATCTTACCTCGAATTTAGCCCCTCTGTAAAATTATTGTTATCTTTAGTCTCTCCAATCGCAATTGCATGTTCATTTCACATGATGGCAGTTCGAGATTTAACTTTAATATTAAATGTAAATTGGAACTATCTATTAAGCGAAAAGTATGTATACCAACTATTAATTAGTAATAACTCTTAAACTGTATACTAATTTTTATTTTATCAAATAGTCAAGTAATAGGAATGCTAATTTTAGATATTTTCCTTTATATTTTTTTAATATTTTATTTGGATAATACTATACCAAGTGAATTTGGAACAAAAAAGAAATGGAACTTTATTTTCACAAAATCTTATTGGCTTGGAACTAGTGTTAGTGATGAATCTATAGATTTAGAAACAAAACAAAACGACGATGTAGAATTAATACCAATGGATATAAAAAACAATGTAACCGTATCAATAAAGAATTTAAGAAAAGAATTTCAAACAGGTGATGGTTTAAGAGTTGCAGTAAATGATTTAAATTTGGAAGTATTTCAAGATCAAATTCATGCCTTTTTAGGTCCCAATGGCAGTGGTAAAGTAAGAACTAAAAATAATAAAAATCATAAAGAATTTTAGTTTAAATATTAATATAACTTTTTATTTTAGTCAACTACTATTGGAATGTTAACAGGTTTAATTGAACCAACTTGTGGTACAGCTTCAATCCAAGGCAATGACATAAGAAATCAAATGAGCAAAGTTAGAAGATCATTAGGAATATGTTTACAAACTGATGTAATATGGGGTCAATTGAGTGTATTAGAACATTTAGTCATCTATGCAACTTTAAAAGGCATTACAAAGGGCATAAAAAGAGAAGCTGAAAAAATGGCAATTGAAGTTGGTTTAGGTGAGAAAATTCATTCCCCAGCCTCATCACTATCGGGTGGTCAAAAGAGAAAACTATGTTTGGGTATTGCTTTTATTGGCCGTAGTACTGTGTGTATATTGGATGAACCAACAAGTGGTATGGACCCATTAAGCCGTCGTGGTGTTTGGGACTTCCTATTAAAATATAAAAAAGGCAGAACCATTATTTTAACAACACATTATATGGATGAAGCAGAAATTTTAGGTGATAGAATTGCAATTATATCTTTTGGCAAATTAAAATGTGATGGTTCAAGTTTATTCTTAAAGCAAAAATATGGATGTGGATATCTATTGACCTGCAGCAAAACTTTATCAACAATTAACCAATTTAATACCGACCGTGTTACAAGGTTTGTGCAAGGATTTATCCCAGAAGCAACAGTCTTATCAGATGCTGGTGGTGAACTAAGTTATAGATTTCCCACTTCGAGTGTAAAAGAATTTTCAAATTTTTTTAGAGAATTTGATGAAATGATTGAAGAGTTTGGTATTTCAACATATGGTATTTCAGTAACAACATTAGAAGAGGTATTTTTGAAAATTGGTCATGAAGCTTCAAATGAAAACTTTTTAGAACAAATTACAAAAAATGGTGAAGATATCAGTCAAGAAACATTAAAGGCCAATATTGCAACCGCCCCAAATGGTATCACTGCAAAGCAACAATTAAAAGGTTTATTAATTAAGCGTATCCGAACCTCGCTCAAGGATATCAAATCTTTATTTTTAACTATTATTTTACCTCTTCTGTTTATTGTCGGCTCTATAATTTTATTAAAAGTCATGGATGAAGAGTTTTTAATCTATAACCAAGTTACAACTCCTCTAGTAATGAATGTTGGTATGTTTGGTCCAAACAATCAGGTTCCAATTCAAGCACTAAGTGAAAATGACTACAAGCTACTAAAATCTTCGAGCCCTTACTCTGATGAATTTGTCCAAATAAAAAATCAAGATACTGAAGAAATGAAACAATTCTTGATTGAAAATTACAAAAAAACTGCAGGTTCAATATCACTTTACTCTTCAATTATTCAAGATCCATTCATCTCTTATAAAGTTGGTTTAAATCCAAAGAGAGTTCACTCAGGATCAGCATATATCAATTTAGTAAATGATGCAATATTAAGAAACCATACCGACATTGGTATTCAATTAACAAGTATGCCATTTAACCATGTTTTAACTGATTGGGACAAAGCTGCACAAGGAATGAACATTAAATCTGTTGTTTACTATGTCGTTATAATATGTGGAGGCTTTGGATTAATGGGGGGTAGCTTTGCTGGTAATGTAGCTCAAGAACGTATGAGCCGTGTCAAAAGATTACTTTATATATCTGGATGCAAGAAGTATATCTACTGGGTTACAAATTTAATATGGGACTATATCTTTGTCTCTATTTTAATTTTAATAACATGTATACTATTAACCCAGACCAACGATAAATACAAAGACAACTTTGGGCTATTTTTTGTTGGATTGGTACTATTATGCATCTGTATAATACCACTTTCCTATCTACTCTCTTATAAATTTACCACTCATGCCAAAGCAACTGGAGCAATTTCAGCCATTCATATCGGTGTTGGTGTAGTACTACTAGTTATTGTTTTAGTATTACGTATTCAAGTTATTGTTAAACAAAAAGAAGTCCTTCAAGATATATCAGATATTTTAGATATTATCTTTTGCATTGTTTCACCTATTTTCGCATTCTCAAAGATATTACTTTTAGTTTCCGATTTTCCCGGTTCACTTAGATTAGGACAGTCCAAAATTGATGATTATTGGGCATTTAAAGCAGGCTCACTTCCAGTTATAATTTTAGCACTTCACTGCCTAATTTGGATACCTTGGATTTTATTATTAGATTATTCGCCAGAAATTAAAGGTTACTTAAAGAATCCCAAAAATGTTCCAGCCCCACTACCTCCACCAGATGAAGATTCAGATGTAACTGACGAAAGAGCAAGGTTAGAAAAACTCTCACCTCAAGATGAAGTAGTTCAAATTAAAGGTCTTTATAAAATGTTCCCAGGAAAAGGTAAAAATCCAGATAAAATTGCAGTTTACAATACTACTTTAGGTATACCACGGGGCCAAACATTTGGTTTATTAGGTTTAAATGGTGCAGGTAAAACAACAACTCTTTCAGCACTTTGTGGTGATATTGTACCAACTTCGGGTGAAATTTTAATAAATGGTTTTGATTTAATAACCCAAAGATCTCAAGCACTTTCAAACATTGCATATTGCCCACAATTTGATGCTCTATCAGTACTGTTATCTGCAAGAGAGCAACTATGGCTTTACTGTAGAATTAAAGGAATACCTGAAGAAAAGATTTCAAATGTTGTAGAATCATTCATTAAAATGATGGATTTAAATCGTATTGCAAATAGTAATTGTGGTGGATATTCAGGTGGCAATAAAAGAAAACTATCATTATCAATTGCCATGCTTGGTGCACCAGCCCTTTGTTATTTAGATGAACCAAGGTTTGTAGTAACAGGAAACTCTATAACTATAAAATATTTTCTAATTTATTAATATTTTTTTTATTCAAATTTTAGTACTGGTTGTGATCCCGTAGTACGTCGTTACCTATGGAATGTTGTAAGTGAACTTAGCAAAGTATCAAGTATTATTATAACAACCCATTCAATGGAGGAGTGTCAAGCACTATGTGGTAAATATTTTTATAAAAAATTAACTACACCTAATTTTTTCTAACATTTCTTTATTAATTCACAGGTAGGGTAACAATTATGAAGGAAGGTAAATTTATGTGTTTAGGTTCGATTCAGCATGTAAAAAATAAATTTGGTTCGGGATATTCATTCGATGTTAAATTTAAAAAGGAGTTTTTAGAAGGTGGAGTCCAACAAATACTAAAATATTTCCCAAATGCAAAAGTCATTGACCAACATGATTTAATAGCCTCCTTTGAACTACAAAACCAACAATTAAAAGTTTCAGAAATATTCCATATCCTTCAAAACGACCTTGGTTCAATTTTAGATGACTACTCAGTTTCCCAAACCTCACTTGAACAAGTTTTCTTAAAACTAACAGGTGCCTCATATGAAAATCGACTCAATAATATAAAGCAAATTAGTGACTAATATCACATGATATTCCAAACTATTAAAACTAAATTTAATAAATAATATCACAATTAAAAAACAAATAAATATTTTATTTGTTTCATTTACCAAAATCAATTCTAAAATAATTCTAATATAATTTCTTTTTATTTAGAAAACTGAGTTAAATATTTTATTAAAAAAAAAAAAAAAAAACTGTAAAAAAAACTGTTTTTAATTATTTTCAAATTGAAAACTATTGTTGATCAACCTTTTCATCTTCTTTTTCTTTATTTTTATAGTTATTTGATTGCTTCCAAACGTTTGAGGAAAATTTCTTTATTGTTTCTGAATCTAATTGTAAATTAAAACTATTACGGAATTTTGATGTTGAAAGATCTATACCAATTCCATTTAAACCATATACATTTGCAACAGCTAAAACTGAACCCTTACCGCAAAATGGATCCAATACAGTATGTGAACCAATACCACGTACATAAGATGTTGAAATTTCACAAGCATTTAAACCCATAGCTCTGGACCAAACCATATCACCTCTTGTGTTTATATCTGGTGTATTATCTTGATATTTAATGTTTGTTGGTTGTTTAGCAAAACAAATCATATGTGTAAATGATGATTTATTTTTTGTGATAATCATTTTTGTTAAATCACTTGCTGCCATAATTTTATGCCAAACTACCTTGCATCCTGCTGCCTCTATACCTTTCATTGCTAAATAACCTTTGTCAATATACTCTTCAATTAAACTTCTATCATGTTTCCAATGATATTTAATATCTGTTTGATAAACAATACCAACATTATTATCACTTAACTAGAAAATTAAAAGAAAAAAATTAGTTAACTAATGAAACTGCCAAGCTATAATAGAAATAGGGTTACAAACCTTTGAGGCAATTAATTGTACAGTATTTGTAAACCATTGTTTATATTGCTCGAGTGTAAAACCTGAAACCTCTGTGATATCAGGTAACGATGTTATAACACTTGTATTTGGGTCAATTGCATTATTATTTAACCATTGAACAGCATCCATACAATATACATCACGGTAAACACCAAATTTATCAATTAAACCCTTTTCTTTATTTAATTGTAATGTTTCAACATCCATAGGCTGTGTAATTGCAAATTTATTTGGATCATCTGGTCCATCTTGTATCTGTATATGTATTGGTCTTGTTTCATAGCTATTAAACTGTACACTTGCTGATTTTGTATCTAAGTATCTACTCAAAACCAAATATTTCCTTAAATATTCTTTTTCTTCTATTAAATTTATATTTATTGGATTATTTTTTATATAAAAAGTTTGATGATTATTGTTAATTATATTACTATTGTTTGTTATTGCTGTTGTTGACATTCTAATGATTCTTTTCATTTAATTTTATCAAAAAAAAATTAAAAATAAAAAAACAAAAAAATAAAATTAAAAAAATAAAACGAAAAAATTAAAAAAAAATAAATAAAATTATTTTTAAATTTTAAAAATAAAGTGTTTATTTACAAACTAATAACTATATTTAGCCATATAATATTTTAAAAAATGCCACCGTCCATAATTGAAAAGGCCTTAACCAAATCTTTTCTCTATTAAAATAATTTAAATTAGTATATACATCTATAGACGTTTGGATATTTATGGAATAGTAATAATAATAAATATTTACCTTATATCTTGTTGATCTTTCTATATAAATTGATCGCTCCTCTTCTTCATCGTCATAATAAAAATGGTTTATCATTAATTGATGGTTTGAAACAACAGCCCAAGACTCGGCCAAAGCAGCTTTATTATCACCATTAGTGTTGCTATTATTACTGTTGCTGACAGTATTATTTGTAATTAAAAATACAATTTGATAATCATTTGCGATTGCTTTCAGATGTCTTGAAATATTCATCATTATAAAATGACCTTGAGTTTGCTTACCACCAATAATGGGTGATAGTATAGTACCAATTGAATCGATTACAATCATTTTTAAATCTTTATAAAACCTGTTCTCTGAATCTTGCCTATTTATGAGATGATGTTCTATACTATTTAATAAATTCATTAAAGATATTGAGTCGAAACAATTTATAACTTTAATTCTATCTAAAATATTTAAAAACTCGTTGGTTTTACTGTTACTATCATCTGTTAAGGGTAATGTCTCGTCACTATTATTTGATTTATAAATTCCGACCAATCTGTTTGGTGAAAATGAATTTGAGCTGTCTATATAAATAATATTATTGTTTGGACTTTGCATAGATATATTTAAAGATGCCAACATTGAAATTTGAGTTTTGCCACATGAGGATGGTCCCACGATTTCATAAATTTCTCCACCGTTAAATCCCTCACCCAAAAGCAAATCATCTAATACCTGTATACCACTTGGAAACCTATTACTATTTTGTTGAGAATCTAGATGAAACTGATAACCATTGGTTGGTACTGACCCAAAAAAAGTTAATAAATTGGTCTGTATGCTATAAATTGACTCTAAAGGTATATTGGTTTTTCTGTGTATCTGATATGCGTCATTAAATAAAATTAACTCTATGCTGTTATATCCTGTCTTTTCGAATGTATCGAAATTCTCTTTACTTAATAGCAAACCCTTATAAAATTTAATATCTAATTCCATGTGTTTTATTTTTTAATTTAAAAAAACCAAAATAAAAAAAATAGAAAAAAATAAAAAATGGAAAAAATAAAAAAATAATTTTTTAAATATTTGAAAAATAATATTTCAAAGAAAAATAGTGCTTCTTGTTTTTTTTAATAATCAATATTTTTTAAAAATAGATTTGGGTTAGAGTTTAAAAAAATATTTATATGATTTATTTATTTTAAGATATTTAAAATTTTTTTTTTTTTTTTTTTTTTTTTTTTATTTACAAAAAAGGAATGTTTATGAATAGTTTTTATCTATTTATTTTCCAGCATTATGTTGATAAGCTTGATAGTCAAACTTTTCTTTTTCAAATTGAGCTTCTAATGCCTTTCCATTTGATTCCATTCTTGCATTCTTTGTAAGGTGACCAACTTTTTCTTTGAGTATGCCTTTAACATGTTTGATTTGAGATGGTTTATGTGGTTCAGTATAATGTTCACCAGTGTGGGCAGCTTCTGCTTTGGTAGCAGTTGGTTTGGTGGCGGTGGAACCAAGATTGTTATAATTTGGACCTGTTGTACCGGCATTATTGTTTGTCATTGAAACTGGTTTATCGTTCAAATTATGGAGAGCGCTATCTTTTGGAACTGGTTTTGTAGCAGCACTACCACCAGTTGGGTTGGCAGCAGTAGTTGGTTTTAATGGTTGGTTGAAGCCTTTTCCTCCTTTGGTAGCATCTGGGAAAAGAGTATATTTTAATTGGTCAAATGTTGTTTCTCTAGTTTGAACTTTTTTTAAATTACCTATTTTACCGGTTAATTGTTTATTAAGTGGACCCCAAGTATTAACTGGTAATCTATTTAATGGTGGTGCTGGTGGTGCTGTTGGAATTGAAAATGGAACTGCACCTAATGTATTGGCTGATGCAAAAGTTGTTGGAGCTTTGTTTTGGAAAACCTTTTCTTCTACAACTATTATAATAATTTAGAAAAAAATTAATATTATTTTATTAAAAAAAAAAGTTAACTATGCTTACTCTTTTCAGTTTTTATAACTTTTTCATTGGCCATTAATGGCTTTGGAGATGATTCAACAGCAGTACTAAAGATGTTTGGTGAATTTGCTGGTTCATAAACAAAGGTGTTACCTTGTTCTTTTGAAACTTTATATGATGAAGTCATTTTTATTTATTTTAAAAAACAAATATTATTATTTTATTTAAGGATATTATTATTATTATATTATTATTTATATACGTATAAACAATGAATGAAAAAAGAATTGTTTTTTTTTTTTTAAGCTTTATAAGTTTTTTTTGTCTGTTTAAAAAAAAAGAAAATTAAATAAAATAATTTATTAGATTATTATAAAAGTTTTAAATTATCAAAAGTCCTTTTTTGAATTTACAGATTTTAAAATAATTATTTTAAAAATAATTTATTTAAAAAAAAATTACTTTTTTTAAAAAAAAATTACTTTTTTTAGAAAAAAATAAAAATAAAAAATAAAAAATAAAAATAATTTTATATATTTATTGATAATTTATTTTTTAGAAAGTAGAAATTATAAGATTCAATTATCTTTATCCTAAAAAAAACATTCAAAATAAATAAAATTCAAATAAATAAAATTTTATTTATTTATCTCAATTTAATAATAAATTATTTAAACTTTTTTTTTTTATTTAGTTTTTTTAAGTTTTATGTTTTAAATATTTTTTTTTTAGTTTTAAAAAAAAAAAAAAAAGGCTGTAACAAATAAAGTGGACAAAATATTAATTTTAAAAAAAATATTATTTGTTTATTATTTATTATTTATAATTATTGGTTAGTGTATTAAATTAATTTGGTGGATTCAATGGTACAATTGGTTGAGAGTCAGTTTGTTGAGCAGTTGATTGAGGTGAAGTTGTTCCAACTAATGTATTATTTGATTGAATTGGGGAAACGACTGGAGCAACTGCCGAAATTGGAGATGAAGTTTGTGGTGGTGAAACACCAGTAGCATTACCATTACTATTTGAATTTTGTTGTGGATAACCCATTGGATCTTGCTTTATAGTTGGTGAATGGTGAGTAGGTGAAGATACTAATGGTTGGTTTAAACCTTGTTGTTGTAAATATTGTTGTTGTTGTAAAGGTTGTTGTAATTGATTATATTGTTGAACCTGAGGTTGTTGATATTGTTGGGGAATTTGTTGTTGTTGTTGTAATGATTGCTGTAACTGTGGAATTTGTTGTTGCTGCTGTTGTAAAGGGATAGATTGTTGTTGGGGAATTTGTTGTTGTGGTTGCTGTTGTTGTTGTTGTGGTTGTTGTGGTTGTTGTTGTGGAGCACCTTGTTGTGGTTGTTGTTGTGGAGCACCTTGTTGATTAGCATTGTTATAATCATCGGCCTTGGTTTCGGTTGACATCTTAAAATCACATTCTACACGGGTATCTCTAATGCTGATGATAAATGTAACCTTTTGATATTCGTGTATAAAAAAACCAAATGGGGACTCTCTCTTTTCAACCTTTTTCCTGACCCAATCTTTACCGCTTGAGAGAGTTGGGAACCCAGATCTAGCATTAAAAGTAAAGTATAGATGTTGAACATTTACTTTTTCATTATTAATGTAGGCGACACGTTCTTTTGTATAACTTCTCCAATATCTAAAGCTGCTAAAATGCTCTCTAAATAACTCTACTGGTAAGCAACCCAATGGAACACCCTTGACTGTTCTACCATAACCATTTTCTAAACGATCTTGAAGAATGGTATGAGCAACTTCCAAAAACTCTTGTAATCTAATTTGTTTATAAAGTGTTGTAAAATAACTTCTATCAATTAATTGATCATCCATTATTTATCTTTTCTTATTAGGCAAACAACTAGATCCTGACTAATATGGAAACCCAAACAATTGTATATGGCGGGAACTAAACTTGGATAATATAAAATTTCGTATTTAAACTCTTTTAACTTTTTGAAGCCTTTATGAATTTAAATTGGGTAGTAATTATTTCTAGTGAGAATTTATTACTCTTTTTTTATTTTTTTTTTTTTTTTTAATATACTTTTTCTTATTAAAAAAATTTTAATAATAAAAAGATCTGGAGTGTAATGTAAAAAAATTCCAAAAAAAAAAAAAAAACAATAGTTTATTTATAATAAAAGTATTTGTGATTAATAATATACTTTTTTTGGAATATGATTTATAATTTTAAAATATATTTTTAAAAAAAAAAAAATCAATTAAGTTCAAACAATATAAAAAAAATAATAATTAAAAAAAATTATATTTTAAAAAAATAATATTTAAAAAAAAATAAATAAAAAAAAAAAAAAATTTAAAAAAAATTAAAAAAAAAAGAAAAAAAATTTAAAAAAAATTTTTAAAAAAAAGAAAAAAAATTAAAAAAAATTAAAATTTTTTGTTATGGAAATATATTATGTATTTGTATATGTATTATTAATATATTTATAATGGTGTGAATGAGTGTGAAAAATTATTTGAAATAAAAATTATTAAATTATTAAATAAATGAAAATTAAGTTAAATATAAAAATAAGAAAAAGAAAAAGAAAATTTTAATTAGTAAATAATTCTTTTAAAAATTTATATAAAATACAAATAGAATAGTTTAAAAAAAAAAAAAAAAAAAAAAAAGTAATGTGTATTATTTATATATACAATATTATTGTTTAATGTACCGGCCCTGCCACCAAAACCAACATGTTACTTTATTTATTGAAATGCATTTTTTTATTTTATTATTTCTTTTAATTATATAATTATGTTTATGTTTGATTAAACTAATGTGTTCGAAATAGATAAATATAAACGAAAAGTATAAGCCCAATCGCAGTAATTTAAAATTTTTTAATTAAAATAAAAAAATTAAATTTTAAAAAAAATAAAATTTAAAAAAAATAAAATTTTTTTATATTATAGTTATTTTTATTTATTTATTTGTTTTTTTTTTTTTAAATTTGTTTTTTTTTTATTTTTTAATTTTTTTATTATATTATTTATTTATTTATTTATTTCCTATTTTTAAATGTTGTGATTTAATAAATAT